GGGCAGTGTCACTGGCCCTCATATGTGGGATCCGAACCGGGGCCCTCTGGCGTCCCAAGCCAGTTCTTAACCATCGCGCCACTCAGCCGGCCCTAGATTTATTTTTAATTATGTTACCTTCAGCAAATCACCTTATATTTCTAGTTTATTTCTCCCTACTTTTTTTAGTGAAGTAATCTACAGATTAGTTTTATATTTCAGTTGATAATTTGAAGAATTTAGTATGATTCTAGAGACTTAAATATTTTTAATAATTAAAATTATGGATGTTTTATGCAGGTTTGTCTCTTAGAAAATTTTTTTCCCCCATGTAAAATAATTAAGAATTGGCTTTTGGTCAGAAGAATTTGAGCTCTGTTTTCTGGTTGAGTTGGAGATAAATTTTGTACTTTTTGTTAAAACTTATTTATTGATGCCGCCTTTGGATTAGCAACATATATTCACTGATCTCATGGGAAAAAGTTCTTCCTAAATTTCCAAGAACTGGTAGTTTTAATTCATAATTTGCATTTGTAAAAATTTGAATATTTATTTGAGGAAAAACCCATGTTCCTGGACAGTTCAGTTTTGGGTATTTATTTTATAAACAAACATTTTACAATTTGTTTTAAACAATATAGTAAGTGATCAGCGATCCTGGACCCAGTTATTTAAGGTTGGTATATTTCATTCTAAAATTTTAGGAATTTTCAGTTTATCTGTTGGCTGAAACTTTGTATACAGAAAGAAAAGTCAGCTGGAATAATTTGGTTATTTTTGAAAACTTGATGGTAATGCATTATGTGGGTTAATGATTTTATATTCTCAATCAAAAGTCAAGGCTTCTAGGTGGATACCTCCTACTTTTGTATCTATTGAGGACAGTTATGGGAAATAGCACAAATTAGAGTGTGAATGGAAGAAAAATTGTAAGGATAAATCTTATGCATAAGTATCATCTTTATTGAATTCTAAGTAACATGGTAATTTTGTACTTACCGAACCCAAACTTTGAGCAACCTCTCAGGAAGAAATGACCATTGGGTTAACTTTTTCAGGGGCTTTAGGAGACCACACCATGCTCTTGACCTCCTAGGAGGAATTGTTCAAGAGGGTCTTGGATTCCTTTCTTTAATGTGAAGGAAGTTCTGTTTTTAGCCAGAATCAGAGAAAGTCAAGAAATGAATTATTCTCTCCTCCCCACTTTCAAATGGAATATTTTTGCTTATAAATTGCACAAAGTGAATGAGTTTTCTTCTTTCACCAATAGATGATACACAGGTATTGGAAAGCAAAATGCTAACAAGTTGTCCATTGAGCACTCTTAGAGATACGCAGAAACTGACAGCTGGTTAAGGCAATGAAAAAGAAAATACAGGCGTTTTCTAGGCAGAATATGAGGAGTGAAAAACACTGCTTTAGTAATAGCACACATAGGAATCTTAATGCTTCGGAGTAGATTTCTCTACTCAGCATAGTAAAAATAAACATTTAATAGATAGCAGGATTTGATAGATTAATACTTGAGGGAGATTAGTGAGCTAATGGTGAAGTTTAAATTTCAGTAGTGTAAATTGTCAATGCAAATGGGCATTTTAGATTTTTTTCTAAAAACTTAACATTTTATAACCTTGACATTTTACTAGGAGTCATAGTTCAATTCCATAATTCTTTTGCTGACTCTTAGTATTTATCATTTCAGAACTACGCATGAATTCTTGTTTGGTGCTCTTGCAGAACTGGTTGATAATGCAAGGTATGTAGTCTTCAGGCATACAGTCTGTGTTTGAAAACTTTTTTGGTCGTTGTAACCTTTGCTCTCTGAAGACTTGGGAGGAAGGCAATTCTGTAACAGCTACAACTCATTCCTAAGAGACCTCTTACCAAAAAAGCATTTTTAATAGCACATTAGTTAATATTTCTACTTGATTAATTTTAATTCATTCATTGCTCTGTGTTCCAGCCTAAAAATAATGAACTTATAACCTCCAAAGCTATGTTCCCTTGTGTATTAGAGCAAGATAATTGTAGTGAAATGCAGGGAATTAAAATAGAAAATTAGGAATCAAATTAATGGGACAGACAATCTCTGATTTAATTTGTGTTACCAGGTTTCTCCCATACAAGTTGTACTTGGCAGCAAGGTAGCTGAGGATGGCTTTAGTCTGTATCAGCCTCATTTTATCAGTTTCAACCAGGGGCACCTGGTTAAAAAGCTGGTGTCCATCTGTCATTAACTTCTCATATTGCTCTCTTGTTTCAATAAATTCTTCTTCAAACTCCACTCCAGCTGCATCCAGCAGCCAGAGTATCGACTCCATTCTGCCCCTACCATGAAAGCAGAGCTTGGGTTTGGCTGTCATGACTTCTGGCTCAGGGTTTTCTTACCTCTTCCTTGCTCTTGTCCCCTGTGATGTGGGGGGATGAAGTCTGAATTGGCCACTTATTAGCTTAGTGAGATCATGGTGTGCCATGGCAGAATGCTTTGTTGTATATCATATGACGAGCTGGAGATTCTTGGGAATGTGTTCCTGCTTATATACACAATTTGCCAACCTCTCATATTTGAAAATTTTTATTATGTTTTTGGGAATAGGTATATGTACAGCTATATGGATTTGAGTGGATTTTTTGCATTTAAAATCAAGGAAATGCTCTGTTTCTCATTTTCCTTGCCTGCAGTTGGCAAAATTGGGCTAGATTACTTCCAAGCCTTTATGGAAGTCTTTATTGATGACTGAATTTGTATTTTAGTTGATGGCTGGAGTTTAATGGGGTACTTCAACTTCCTTTCAAGGTTAGGGAGGATTAGGTTATGGGCTTGTGAATCAGTCTGCTAATTGTAGTGTATATATCATAAGACCTGATTTTTCGTTGGCTTTGTGGCATGTTATTGTTTTCCTTTTTTCTCAGTATCTGAGTGAGATGTATTATTGGAACATTTTTTTATGATTGTGATCAATTGAGAAAAACACAGATTTGAGCCATTTCTTAGTATCTATAGGGGAATGTTTTTACTTATCATCTAGATGTTTTTACTATGAAATTTGTATTTAAAAATATATATTCAGGTCCTATGTGTCATGAGATTATTTTAAATCATTTGGAGTTTCAGAAGAGTTTCACAGACATACAAGGGAAATTGTGTTGCCAAGTGTAAAATACAGCTTTAATGTATACAGAATTTCTGTATGACTTCCCGAAAATAGACTCAAAATAGTATCCATCCCACTCAAAATACTGTGCATTTTGATAGTTGATATTTCATGTTCTCATTTGGATCTTGATTTTGCTGCCTTTAATTTTGCAGAGATGCTGATGCCACCAGAATAGATATTTATGCAGGTAAGACAGACATCAGTTCTTTATTCTATGCCCACTTCTTTTTAATGTATTTTATTGCTATGCCTAAGAAGAAATGAGTGAGAAATAACTGGTTTCTGGAGCTTGGGGAGATGGCACAATTACTCACAGTCTTAGGTAGAAACAGGGCAGCCCTGGTTAGACATTAATAGAAACCAAGAATATTGGTGTAAAGAAACAAACATGGGGTCCCCAGATTTATAGATCTATTTAAATAGCCATAGGAGATTTATGGGGATATGGGGTAGAATAAGTAGAGAGTGTAATGATTACTAGCTACGAGTGATTTTACTGGTTGGAGTTAGCCGGTAACCAGGTTTGTGGTACCTGCAGCCAAAGAGAGATCTTGTTGGAGGCCAGTTTCTTCTTCTGCAACTTTGGTGAGGACCAGTCCCAACTTGGAGAGATGCTCCAAAACAGCTGGGTAACTGGGTTGCCCCTGAGGCTTGCAGAGAAGATAGTCTCAGACAGAGGTGTCAGGTAGGAAGGAGGCTGCTTTGCTTATTTAATTGGCTCTGTTGTTTAGGAGTGCATTTTTTTCCCCCCCTAGAGTGGGTGCAACAGTGGAAGAATTCTTAGTCATTATCATTGGCTTTCTTTTTTTTTGTAAAAAATAGTTTGCTTTCTGCCTGTTCAATATTTGTACCAGCACTTTTTTTTTTTTTTTGGTCATTTGAATTCTAAAAATCTGGAAGCAGAATAGAGGAAGGAAGCTTTTAAATTTAATTTGGGTAGCATGATCTGTTTTTCTGACAAACTTTTCTGAAGTATTCTGAAAGGCTTGAGGTAATATTTTTGAATAACATTGACTAGCTTCTGAGAAGACTTGATTTTTTGTGGGAAATATACAGTTATCAAATAACCCCTCTTCTTCATAGACCTATTTGATAAATGGGAACAAACACACAACTAAGAAGTAATTCTCAGACCCTCCAATGTCATATAATTATGAAGACTCTCCCCAGGTATGATGAATTTCTCCAGAGTTTCTGATATACTCTGGAACAAAGTGTAAACTGAGAACAGCTAAAAGTCAACTGTATTGCTAAAATTCTGAAAGCCTTCTGTCCTTAAGGCTCTGCTAAAGTGGTGAAAATAAGACTCCTTTTAATTTTAGAAGAAACTTAATAGGAAAAAGAGGCACAGCAGAAGATGGTTACTAAACCGTCAGGCCAGATGGAGGTGCCAATGTGTATCTTACATCTCAGTGTGCTTTAGTGAGGAGTAATTACAGCTACCTCTGAAAGAAATGGTAGCTATTTTAATCATTGCATGATGGCAAAGCAGAGAAGAAGCCTTTCTATTCCAAGTGACATTGAAAAGGCAAATCATCATAGCCAAGTCTGTTTGGAAGAAACTTTAAAAAAAAAATCATCTCTGCCCGCCTCCTACCACTTTCGATGGGTGAATTTCAGCAAGGAAATTTAGTCCTTCACACTCAGAATGCAGCAGAATAGTTGGATTTCAATTTAAATAATAAAAGGCCCAGTGTGCATTTATTCAGTGCTCAATGCTGCTTCTGTTGTGCTTTAGGAGTAAGAGTCCAGAGGATGAGATTGGGGCTTTGCTAAATTCTCATTAGAGAATTTATGGCTAATTGGAGAGACAATTAGAACTCTACAGATGATTAGAGAACAGTAACTCAATCTTGAGGGAACTGTCAAGGCAGTTAAGGATTAAATGGTGTGATAGAAACACTAAGCACTATAGCACTTCACTTCATACGTTGTTACCTCAGTGCCCCATTTAACACATTCACCAGGAGGAATAAAAGCAACTTCATTGTACAATTAAAATAATAGAATTACTAATATTAAATATAGGCATATCTTGATTTATTGCGCTTCACTTGATTGCACTTCACAGGTGTTGCGTTTTTTATAAAATGAAGGCAAGATCCTCCAAAAAGATTACGACTTGCTTTATTGGCGGTGGTCTGGAAGTGAACCTACAATATATCTGAGATATGCCAGTAATATAAAGTTCTTGTTAATACATGTAAGAAAGTATTTTTCTAGCTGCCATTCTGAAACTAGATTTATACTGAATTTGGAAATCTTCCCAAACATCAGATGTAGTTTGAATTCACCACAAAGTCACATTTTAGAAGATTGTATTTAAACCTAAGAAGGGCAAGGAAGAAACCAGACTGTCAAATTGTAGAGGTAGGTGTTCCCTTACCCAAAGCATTCCTATTAGATAGGGCTGGACTATAATGTGCTTGTCAGAAGTAGACTGGAAAACTAGTTGGAACAAATGTAACTGAAATGGATATTGTTCAAACAGATTGTAAAGTACGGTGAAGAACTTGGATGTCATTTTATTACAACTTCTGCTTAAGGATAATAGTATCTTATCATTTTTGACTTTTTGACACATAGCTCTGTTTTACATCTCTTCTGCTTCTTTCTTTTTTATGTCTTCTCTCCAGTGGAGAGACAGTTCAAACTCTAATGGAGGGATGTCAGGCTAATTTGGAGAAGCCAGACTTGTTGAGGGAAGCTTAGATATGCACCCTTCCAAACTGGCTCTGATAATCTTACATAGCTGCTGCCAGGGTCTAAAGCACAACTCAGAGAAGGCAATTTGGCAATTTGGCTTTGTTCTCTCATACATGTTTCTAACATGTATGATGGGAGAGGGAGCATACAACCTCCAGCTGCTTAGACTTTCCTCTGTTCGGAGCCTCCTTCATAAAAATCCTTTCCTTAGAGGCTTGAGATATTATTACTCCATTGACTGATTAAAATAAATATCAGGTGTTAGGAATGCATTTGTAACTGGTGGGTTTGGGGAGATAGTTTTGAGCAGGAAAGCCTTGTACTTTAACTCAGTGCTTGTCCAAGAGTAGCTCACTGGTGGACAGTATTGGGATCACCTGGGAATGTGTTAGAAATGCAAATTTTCAGGTACCACCTCAGACCCACACAATCACGTTCTCCAGGGTGGAGCTTATTGAGATAAGCATTGTAGTTAGGTAAAGATGTCACACTGCCTGTTTATAAAGTTGAAGTTATTGCTGTATCGACTAGTCTCTCTTGGCCCTGAAGCAGTATTGAATATGACCATGGATCTGGACAATACTAGCTGCTTACAGGCTGTTGGTGGCCAGGAGGATCTTTTATAGGTTGGCCTCTTACCCTCATAAACCACATGAAAAATCTTAGAAATGAAGTTCTTGAGCAAGAAAGGGATCTCAGACCCACTGTTAAGTGATGATTTTTTGCTAAAACAGCCTGCAAGTCCTGTTTGAGAAACACAATGGCCTAGAAGTAACTTCCTAGGGTAGTGTTCAAGAAATGCCAGTGATCCTGGGGGACTTTTCAAATGCACTTGGCGCGAACCAGTTTCTAGCTCCCAAAGCGGAGTCTTCATGTACGTTTTGTGGCTGAAGTATATAGCAAATGGCTCTTGATTAGATATAGAACACTTTTTCCATGATCTGTACTGACCCACTTTGAGTCTCCATTTGACACTTTGCTTCCTGCAGAAGAAACTTTGAAGTCCTTTTGTACTTTTCTTGCACTTGCTTTGGCTTGCTAGATCTCACTTGGATTCTCCAGACGCTGTTGTTAAGAGGCACTGCCAAAAGGAGAAATTTTCTTATCTACCAGTAGTACTTCCAAGAAGATCCTTGCCCTTGAACTTTCAAGAAGCACTTGTTATTAATATTTCATCAAAGTTCAGCTTCCTGAACACTGAGTGGTACTCAAAAATCTCTGTGGTTTATAGTACTTCTGAAATAGCATCTTAAATTATATTAACTAGTCCATTTACGTAACAGAACATGGTCATGACTCACTTGAATCTTTAGCCTGAGGGGAGGACAAAGCATTTTAAACAGATTCCTCAGCTTAGATAGATGTATAAAGTTGGTAAACCACAGCTTGGGGAAGACAAAAGTCTTTAATAAGGAAGTAAGATCCAAGGCAGCCTTGGGTTTGTTCCTGTAGTACCTTGCACAGACCTTCCTTTTAGAAGTGCTCTCCTGATTACAAGGCCTATGCTGTTCCTCCTTTGCCCACCTAGTCCTCATCATTGGGTCAAAAGGCACTTTGGAAACTAGTATGGCCCCTTTCCCTATTGGGGAATCTTTTCTCCAGTGTCCATGATATGACCCAGACTGCTTAGAGTAACCACTTGCCACTGCAGAAGACAGCTGCGGAAAGAAGAGTGTCTTCCACCCACTGAAATGGCAGTCATAGTCTGTTGTGTTCCTTCCTTCCCTGTTGGCCAAGAAGACCTGCTGTGGCTGCTCTGTAACTTACTGTCAAAGGACTATTCCTCCTTGCAGTCAAGCCTGTCCAGCTGGGAACCAGAAAGTTTTCACTGCACCCTGCACCACCTCACTCCTGGGCTGGGGAGCCATTTCAAGGACCCACACCAAGCAGGGGATGTGATGATGAATAAAGATAGCTCAGAAACTGCAGTTAGCCTGGGGATAGAGGCTTAGTAATTCATCTTCTAGATAGCAGCTGCCACCACTGTGCCCATTGCGTGCCAGGGTTGGTCACTTTGTACTTAACCCACAAAAGGAGGTACCTTGTTGGATTTGAGCAGTGTTGATGAGGTATAGCATGTAGTAGTTGGAGAACTTTAGCGGCTTAGGCTTCATGGCAGAGGGCAGAGGTAGAAGTAATCCAGGTGGAGGGATGATTGAGGTATGCATGAAATACATGTCTATTCAGTGGTCCTGGGTGTGGTTAGATGCTGGGCCAGGTATTACCTGTCCTCTTTATAGAGTCTCAAGCTTTGTCATGAACTAGAAAGCATTGAGTTTTGGGAATTCTTACCCTTGAGGGACCTGACATTTAACTAGCTAGCTAGGTCTGTTACATGCAGAGGCTAGGTTTGACCTGACCTGTTTGGACTGACCTTCTGATCATACCCATGTTGGGTGTGATCTGGTGGTTAATCACCCAGTAATGGGAGCCACTTCTTTTACAGAAAGGCGAGAGGATCTTCGAGGAGGATTTATGCTTTGTTTTTTGGATGATGGAGCAGGAATGGATCCAAGTAAGTGATGAGATGATTGCTTCTTTTGGGGAGGATATAACCATTTTTTATAAAATACTTACTGTGTTAACTTGTTTCTCTGTTGCCGCACTATTATAACTAGAAGATCCACCCAGGGAGAGAGAAGTCTGTTGCAACATCTCAGGCCTAATTCCACTAATGGATATGCCAGGTCTTGTCCTAGCATGGCAGATAGGATCTAAATGGCAACCTGAAGTCAGTGAGATTACCTGTCTCTTGACATTATATTTATCAGCTTGCACAACATCTTGGAGTTGAATCTACAGGCCCCCCCCCCCCNTAAATGGCAACCTGAAGTCAGTGAGATTACCTGTCTCTTGACATTATATTTATCAGCTTGCACAACATCTTGGAGTTGAATCTACAGGCCCCCCCGTCCCAAGCCTTATTACCGTCTTTGGGTAACATAGTGATGACATTACTGACAGGCCAGTCAGGGATTACCTACATTTGCCTCACAGTTGTGAATTTCCTTGGACAGAAGTTTTCAGTAGACACATAGCCTTGCTTGGGGTTAACAAGGTTCAGACCTCTGATTTTGAGGAGTTTGGGAAAGAAATGCAAACTTTTCACTTTCTCTTCTGCCTGCCATTTCAGGCGATGCTGCCAGTGTAATCCAGTTTGGGAAGTCGGCCAAGCGAACACCTGAGTCCACCCAGATTGGGCAGTATGGGAATGGGCTAAAATCGTAAGTGTACTAGAAGCCTTTCACAGGACTGAAAACAAAATCCAGCGATGCTCTCCTGCTTCTATCCCTTGAAAACTTTCTTCTTCCTTGTCCCTCCCTCACTGTAATGGAGCAGAAGGAAAGTCAGAAAGGAGTGGTTTGGGGACTTCCCAGCTGTTGTCCAGCCTAGTTTACTTCAGAGATGGAAAAGTATGAACATCCAAAACCGGTTGGGGTGGGAGAAGCTATACGTTTCTCTTGATACTGTTCTCTGGACTGCACCTCTCCTTTTGAAAATTCTTATTTTACCCTGTGGTTGAGGACTTGGATGGTAGTTTTGTGGGGTTGGGATGTATGATGTCGGACAATTAAGTTCGCAAACTAATCCTAGAAAAAGTGCTACATACTTCATTGCTAAATATCACTATGGTCACCTTCGAAGTACCTCCCCTTGGGAAGCTATGCACTGACACCAGCGCCTAATCCACCCTTCAAAGCAGTTTTGGAACTCTTTCTGTTACGGCTATCAGAGCTGTTGTCCTATCACCCTTGATGTCCTGAATGTCATCAGAATGTTTTCCTTTCAATGTTTCCTTTATCTTCGGATAAAGAAAGAAGCCATTGGGGGCCAGATTAGGGGAGTAGGGAGGGTGTTCCAATACAATAATTTGTTTACTGGCTGAAAACTCCCTCCCAGACAGTGCCGTGTGAACTGGTATATTGTCATGATGCAAGAGCTATGAATTGTTGGCATAAAGTTCAGGTCGTCTAACTTTTTTACGCAGCCTTTTCAGCACTTCCATATACTAAACTTGGTTAATTGTTTGTCCAGTTGGTACAAACTCATAATGAATAATTCCCCTGATATCAAAAAAGGTTAGCAACAACGGTACAACAAGTTCACGAACTTAATTGTCAGATCTCGTATCTGAGATACGGGTTGCTTTATGGCGTGGCAGTACTTTCCGAGCACCTGCCACATGTCATGCTTTGTGATAGACACTGGGGATCCACGGCGAGGAAGAGAGACCTAAACCCTCCCGCTCAGAAGACGAGGTCTCCACTGACAATATTCCTGCTCGGTCCTGTAGTAGGGACCTACCTAATGTCTTCAAATCCCTTGGGACTTCTTTCTCAGCCCTTGGTTCCCACTTGTTTGGTATTTGGAATGTGTTGTTCTGGTTTTAAGTGAAGCCCCAAGAGAAAGGTTTCTATTTCTGAAATGCTCACTTCCAGCTGTACATACCTTTGGATGGAATAAGATTTAGTGGAGTTGGAGTTTGTACAGATGGAATTCTGAGTCACGTTTCCAGTCTTGCTATGGAAACATATTGTTTTGTTTGAGAGAGGGTGATGGTTTGGTCAGTCAGCAGCATTGGTTGTCCCTCATAAGCAGTGAGCTTTGTGTGGGTAAGGAAGAGAGTGTTCCGAAAAACATCAGGGACCTGGTACCTGGATTTTTTATTTGTCTCTCAGGACTGGAACCAAATAGTAATAACAGGCACTTCCCTGTGTTGCAGGCACTGTGTTAAAAACTTTACTTGAATGATCTTATTTAATCCTGACTATAATCTTATGAGGTATAGGTACTATTCTTATTTTCCGATAAGAAAATTGAGGTTTATAGGGATGAAGTGTTGCCCAAAGGTACAAAGTGCCCAAGTTTAGAGCAGAGATATGAACCAGGTCTTTCTGACTGTAAAGCTGAAGTTGTGTCCATCTCACTTAAGTCAGACAAACTAAAGTTCAGATCTCACCTCAGCCACTTAATTACTTCTCTGAGCCTCAGCTTCCTCTTTTGTAAATTGGGATTATTGTACATACTGAGTTGGTTAAGGATTAAATGTTAACATTGCTATGAGAGCCCTAGCCTGGTTTCTAGTTTTAAAGCAAATTTCTCCTCTTCTTTGATCATTCCATGTCAGATTCCTGACCTGATTGAGTGAGTCTGGGGTAGGACCTAGGAATCTGCATTTTCATAGATTCCCTAGGTGATTCTGATGTGGCGATCTAACTCCCTAAGAGTCAGTGAGATGTAAGAAACCCTGACTTCCCATATGGATTGTAGGTCAGCCACCTCCTACCTGTCTTATTAGTTCTGTGGCCTCAGGCAAACCATTTCACCTCTCTGAATGTCTGTTTCCTAATCTAGAAAATAGGATTTCTAATCGCTGACAATTCTCCCTTCCAAAGCAAGTTTTAGGAGCAACTGAAATGTGACTCAGAAAGCGTTTAGAAGACTGGGAAGGAAAATGTACAGAAGTTGAGAGTGTTGTCATTAGCATATTTTAGTAGAACAATTTTTGTAAAGAATCAATTGAGATGGAGCCATCTGGTGTTCAGAGTGAATTCATTTTGAAACCAGTTTAGAAGTTGAAAAAGAGTTTCAGGAGGAAGTGATTTGTGGTGAGAATTGGGCTGAGGAGCAGGGAAACCGGCAGAGAGATGGCATTTTTGGGTTGTTTCTGTTCAGCCTCCAAGGTCACGTTCAAAGACAGGGAAGAAAGAGGCACAACGCGAGAATTTTTACCAAATTAGGGCAAGAATAAGCTTTGACAGAAGGCAAGATAATGTGCTTCATTTTGCCACCCAAAAGCTTTAGGGAAGAAGGAGGAAGACTGAAATTGTCAGATGAAGGAGCATTGCCAGAACCTTGGGAGCTAGAGGAAGTGAAACAGAACTTGGCAGCCCCCAGGGTGCCAAGTGTCCTGGGAGTTTTCCTGTGCATTTGGGGAAATTGGACATGGCACTCATTTGTGTGCTTGGCATACCAACCTGGTTTTTGTACATAGATGAATGTAATAAGGCATTTTACTGCCATTACCTCCCTAGGGTATTAAGAGGACTGATGAGATAATAGCCATACAGCCCCAGAAGCTGTTCAGAAGAAAGGAGCTAAACAGCCCCATTGTTCAGTGGGCAATTCTCCCACTGGTGCTATGCTTCTGCCGTCTGGAAAGGCATGTCCTGGCCTGCTTTTTGGATGGCTTAACGTGGCCAGAGGAAGAAGCAGTTGATTGTGTTCAGACTTTTGCCTTGTGGAGTCATTGTTAAGGCACATTTCCCAGAAACCAAAATCAGGGACCTGTGTGTCTCATAATGAGCTTGAGGTGGCAAAACAATTTTGAGACAGAAGATGGCTGTAGTTAATAGGACCTGAGCTTTGATCAAGAATTATATTTTGTATGATTAGCCCCTATGTTTGGCTGAGCCTTGGGATCGTACTATTTTTTTTGAGGATTCATGAGCATAGGCAGTGAGCTGTTCCCTTGATGGTGCTGTCGTTTGATGAGTGGATGGGAGGGGAGTTTGTGTCAGTGGAGGAAAGATAGGTTGGGAACTGGATGTGGTTAGCATGGAAGATGATGTCTTGAAGTTATCAGTTACAGGAATGAAATCTGATGGTGGCCCAGTCAGAGAGTATAGTAGCCCTTGTGTGGCTGGGATAAACCCAGAGCACTGGAGGCAGAGTTACTTGTTACCATTGTGGCAGCAGCCACAATGGTGACATGGGGGTGACACTAACCTGGGGCTGATGACTGGTGGTGAATGTACCCTGGAAGGGTGGTGAGAGAGCTATTCACGGTGGATAAGTGTGGTTGAGAAGGTTATAAGGAAGGACGAAAGTCAATGGAAGAGAGAGGGGAGGAGTGTCAGATGGGAGGAGAAGGAACTAGGGCTGTGGAACTTAGCTCAGGGTCCTGAGGCCATTAGGGGAGCCCTCCCAAGGCAGTTCAGTCATATCCAGAGGATAGATTTGCTCCTTTCTTCAGATGAGCTTTTCAATCCCTGGGAGAATAACCCATTTCTGCTTCCCTTTTAGGGGCTCAATGCGCATCGGGAAGGATTTTATCCTCTTCACCAAGAAAGAAGACACCATGACCTGCCTATTCCTGTCTCGTACCTTTCACGAGGAGGAAGGCATTGATGAAGTAGGTCCCATACTTGTGGTTCGAGTCACCATTGCACATTTTGTGGGTCTGCCCAGGCTGTTTTCATCGATCAGTTGCAATGCTGGGCTCATTGGGGTTGCAAAATTGCAACCATGCCCCCTATTAATGGGATTAGCTGGTTGGATGAATTGGTTGAGGGGTTAAGGCAGATGTGAGAGGAAGTAAAAATTCAAAGCTGAGTGCCATCAAGTGGCAGGAACCAAGAATTGTATTTGCAGCTCCCCTAGATCTGCAGCTTAAATTTAGTCTGGCAGGGTGTCACTATAGAGAGTTGTTTTATCAGGAAGAGTATTTTGGGTTTCTGTGAGTATAGGTAGAAACCACAGCTGGCAATAATAATTGGAACAGCACTGTTTTTCCCATCTGATGGTGATTTTGTGAAGTGTGATATGAGCACATTTTCCTTTCGAGGAAACGTATTGCTGTAGCCCTCTATCAGCTGACTACAAGCTGATACTTACAGGGCCTGGGTAGGTAGTGAAGCTGGTGAGCATTTGGAAGACATCAGTGTAAGTTCTTTGCTAAATGGCAGCTGACACTCAGCCCCAGCTGATTATTGCTACACTGAAAGGAAGGCCTAACGAATCTTCTGATTTTAAAACATTTGGTAATTAATTCACTGTATAAGCTAAACACGTACTCAGCTGATTCTCTTTGTGGCCTGGTGGCTCAGATATATGCAGAACTGGTCTGGTGAGGTCTTTGCTCCCTCATGGGGACTAATCAGGGAAGGCCTTGGTCTGCCCAACCTCAGCCTGGACTCTTTATTTTCTTTCATATGTGAGAAATGGAGGCCAGAGCTTGAGAGAAGGGGATGAGAGGGTCTGCAGGGAGAAATCCATGGCTGTCATATCAGCAAATAGGTGAATTCAGTCAAAGTTTCAATCTAAATTCATTTCTGTTGATTAGCTATGATTAAATTTATACTGGCCCTGTTTAGTTGTGAGCCTAAATCATAGGAAATTATTGGGTTGTCGGAAAAGTCACGATGCATTTTTGCAACGAAAAACAAAATACGTCATGACTTTTCCAACAACCCAATAGTTCATGTTGGGAATAGAAGGATATCTTTTTTCTACCATCTTTACTTGGCAAGCCAGTGGATTTGTTTGCCTTTTTGGTAAATGTGTCAGTTCATTCAGCATAGAGTGAGGCAAGTGCTGCAGCTGGAAAGAGCAGGCTTCTGGGAGAAGGTAGGGCAGGAGAACTTAGCTGAGGCTGGAGTTTTCAGGAATGTTTCTTTACAGACTGAGGGTGGTGGGAGGAGGGGTTTAAATCAATAGAAATAGTCTGTTTAAGGCTCTGAGGGCTGGTGAGTCTGTGGGAAGGGACTTGGCAGAGGTGCCACTTGAAGAAAGGTGGTAGCCTCTGAAGAACAGGGAATGCCAGGTCAGGCTTGACCACAGGGCGTTGGTGAGTGGGTGGGACTTTATTGAAAACAATCATTAATGGGAATTTAAGCAAGCCTGTGGCAGCATCAGGTTCTCTTTAAAAGATCAGTTTGGTTATTGTGTGGTGATTGGATTGGGAGGATTTTTGGGTGTTGGAGTGGATCAGTTGAAAGGCCCTGACTGTGTGTAGCCTGGTGGGACTCAAAGCAGGGAGGTGAAAGAAATAGGAGTCTTCATCTCTTCAGTACGTGGGACCCACAGATTTGGTGTTTGATCATTTGAGAGAGGAAGTGGGAAAAGGATTAGGATGACTCAGGTTCTGGTATGGCAGTTGGGCATGGTGGGCTGGGGAAGAATGGAAGAGGCAGCTAGGAGGGGAAGAGTGTTTTTTCCTGGGCACGCAAAGTTAAGTCTGGGTCTGGAGCTTGGGGGAGGCCTAGGCTTTGGGATTCTTGGTAGCAGATGAGGTAGGTCAACTGAAGGAGTGTGTAGAGTGAGAAGAGGACCTGGGATCTCAGACGTGCTGACTTCTAAAGGCTGGGGAGAAGAGAAAGTATGGCAGAGGAGACATGAGTGCCCAGAAGGGTAGGAGGAAAGCCGGGAGAGGGGTGACGTTGAAACTAAAGAAGTGTTCCGATGGTAGGGATGGGTCCCAATGGAATGCCCATAGTTTAAATAATGCCATTGTCACCTGGGACTGCTGTGAAGAATGGGAGGTACAGAGCGAGGTACAAATTCACAGAACACAAATGGAACTCGGTTCCCTAGTGAAAAACCTAGGTTGAAATGTTTTCCTTACTTGGTGCTAGAAGGTCACTTGTTTTGGATTGTACTCTGGTGTACAACTCAGCCAAGATTTCAAAATAAGATCATTTTTGGCTGGATAGGAATGTGTCTACAGCAGCTCTAGGGCTGGATTCTATAGACATGAAGCTTCTTAGAAGCTAGCAAATGTCTCAGAACTCTTTTAACAGTTTATCACACTGGCACTTGTTAAAAAACAGTTCTTTTTTCCTCACGATGGGCCATCCATCTCCTTTGAACCTCAGAGGCGCCTGGGTTGGTTTGCTCCACAGAGGGACTCCCAGCAGTAAGCCATCCACAGGGCAGCTGGCTGGTTGAGGGGAACAAGCACACTGAGGCCTCTGGGGAAGTGGTATTTGAGGCATGGTTTTTGAAGAAAGAGTGGGATTCTTTTCCAGCATCATTGAGGTATAGTTGATGAGAGTAGGAGTTTTAAAAACATTACTTACACATAAGATTAAATTTCAGGGCCAGCACGATGGGTAAGAGCTGGCTTTGGGACGCCAGAGGGCCCTGGTTCGGATCCCACATATGAGGGCCAGTGACACTGCCCTCTACAGCTAAGATGCTGAACAACAGCTCAACCTGGAGCTGGGCTGCCATGAGTCGCCGGTGACAGCGTAGGCTGCAGCCCCTGTGGCAGTAGGTTGCCATGGGCTACCGTGTTTAGCCAGCAGCCAGCGTGAGCGCCCAGCAGCCGCTGTGAGCGGCCGTCCACAAGCTGGCGACTGATCTGCCTTGTCCGGGAAGAGCGCAATGATGGTGCCAACTTGGGCCAGTGAAACAACGTCCTCCACGACTAGACTGAAGAACAACAACAACAAAAATGACAGCAACTTGTCTGTTCCCCTTCCCCCAATTCCCCAGCACTGTTCCCATCCCCCCAATTCCCCAATAAAAATCTTTAAAAAAAAAAAAGATTAAATTTCAAACATATGGAAGAGTGTATTAAAATGTATATACAGTTGAGAGAATATTTATGAAGTGAACACCCGTGTAGCCACCATCATAGACTGATGATAGGTCTCCAGCGTGCCCCTCACTAATCAGATTCCCTGTTGAACCTCTGGAGGAACTGCCTTCAGGTGATTTTTGTGATGATCAGTTCCTTACTTGTCTTTATAGTTTGTCTGTGTATGCATTCTTGAGTAGTTGAGTTTTGCCTTTTTATGAATATGTAAATGGACTCATTATAGGTTTTGTTTTGTTTTTGTATTTTGCTGCTTTCATGTAACACTATTTTTGAGATTCATCCATGTTGATACTAGTGGCTATTAGTTTGTTCATGTTTATCATTGCACAGTATTCCATTGTATAAATATGTTGCAGTTTGTCCACTTTGTAGTAGATATTTTACTGTTCTTACATACTTGCTGGTACATAGGTACAAAAGTTTCTCCTAGTATATATACCTGGGAGTAGAATTGCTGAGTTGTAGGTTATGTTTATATGTATCTTCAGCGTCACTAGATAATTGCAAATACAGTTTCCTAGTGGAAAGAGTAGATTTATTACCAAACTAGGAAAATAGCCAGGGACAGCCCAAGCAAGGAGCTGCGTATGCAGAGACCCCCTCTCTGCCCCAGGACATAAGCTAGCATGCCTCAGTAGAGGACCTAAGATGTGAGGCTGACTCTTGGGAGGGGCAGAAGCCACAGAGTCTGGCACCAGGCTGCGGAGCTTGGGCTTCATCCCCCAGACAGTGTGGAAGGGGATAAGATGGATGCACTTTTTGGGTAAGGCTTTTCTGGGGTCTCCCTCAAAGTATCCGCTTGTGCTTACTCCAAAGGTGATAGTCCCATTGCCCACCTGGAATGCTCGGACCCGAGACCCTGTCACAGACAATGTGGAGAAGTTTTCCATCGAGACAGAGCTTATCTACAAGTATTCTCCCTTCCGCAATGAGGAGGAAGTGATGACTCAGTTCATGAAGATTCCCGGGGACAGTGGTAAGTAGGATGAGCTTGCTTCCCCTAGACTCCAAAGATCCAGAGCCACAGTGGTTTGGGAATGGGCCAGGGGTGCCTGGCAGAACAAAAGGAGGATTTCTGTTCCCCAGGAACACTGGTGATCATCTTCAATCTCAAACTCATGGATAATGGAGAGCCAGAGCTAGACATAATCTCAAATCCAAGAGATATCCAGATGGCAGAGACTTCCCCAGAGGGCACGTAAGTGTGGCTGGGAAGGGAGGGAAGCCCTGGATCCGATGTTCATTCTCTCAGCAGAGAAAAGCTCAGGAGGTGACTTTAGGGACAGAGAGGAGAGCTTAGTCTCTGGATTTCCCAGTTTTAGAGTTAATGAAGCTGACAACTCCTCGTCTTCTTGCCACAACAGGGCAAAGGGATAACGTAGGACAGGAGGTCCTCAGCTAAGCCAAAAAAAAAAAAAAAATTAGTGACTCCTTGCTCCATTTCCTTGATTTGATAGGAAAAAAACAGAGCCTACAGAGGGGAAAGGAATTGCTGGGTCCATGGTGGGGCAGTGGTAGGGCTGGGTCAGGTAACTATGAGGCACCTGTACTGGGGATGTGAGGGGGCAGTATGTGGTGCCAACCCTGAGGGAGCACCCCTTCAGGGTGGCAAGAGAAGCCAAGATGCAAGGTGGAAAGGTGGAGGGCCTGCAAAAAGGCTGTTCTACTGTACCCTTGGTGAGGCTGGTATGGGGCAGTGATAGCACTCCTCTGTTCCTGCCACTTCCAGGAAGCCAGAGCGGCGCTCATTTCGTGCCTATGCTGCGGTGCTCTATATTGATCCCCGGATGCGGATCTTCATCCACGGGCACAAGGTGCAGACCAAGAGGCTCTCCTGCTGCCTGTACAAGCCCAGGTAGGGGCCTGGCCACTCTGGCCTGCTGTTTCCCTTGGGCCGAGGATGGGGCCTTGCCATTTTTCTCTGGGGCATTGGAGTGATACCCGATGAGAAGCTCTGATAGTGTTCAGTGCATTAGGGCCTTTAAACTACCTGTGATGTACTGCCAAGAAACTTCTGGGGCCTGCCGAGTGGCGCAATGGTTAAGAACTGGCTTGGGACGCCAGAGGGCCCCGGTTCGGATCCCACATATGAGGGCCAGTGACACTGCCCTC